ATATCACTCGCTGCAGAAAAAAGAAAAGGGTATTTGGACAGGTCATTGATTTCTCCCTCTCTCCATGAAAACGCTCTGTAATGTGCTGTTTATTGACGTTCCTTTGCTGCTGTGTAATTATTCCCATCAGGAGAAGAACCACTGAGTTCTCTAATAACACCATGAGGGCCTGAACCAGCACAGCACAGAGCGAATTAAGCCTTATTAACACCTGAAAACGCTTCCCCTCTGTGATTAGGAGCATGGTACTCCTGCAACTTTATGGCCAAATTATTCTGAATTTTATAGAGCAGCTAATACATACTGACGTAAAAAGGTTTTTCCAAAACAATGATATGTGGATGGAAAATGTTGCCCAGAAAATAAAATCATACCACAAAGGATAACCAGGTAATAATGTCAAGCAAATCAAAAAGGTTTCTTAAATTTCTCTTCTGGAGCTGTTTTCTAATGTCCACTGTCTATGGTAGTCATGAGAACATGCTCAGAACAGGGAGAAATGTCTGTATGCCTGCAAAAAACCTGGAGCAGCTCATTAGGATCAATTTATTACAGATCCAAAGGGTGAGGGAGTGTACAAAATGTGCGAGAAAAATGAGTGTTTGTTTTTGGACACCTGTCAGCACAAAAACCTATTCAAAGGAGAACCTTGGCTCCACCACAGCACCCCCACAGCGTGGGGTTTTAGGGGAAGCTACAGGCTGTTCACAGAGCTCTTGTCGAGGAGGCTGCAGGAGGAGCCATGAGCAAGGATACAAGAGGGCATCCTTCACTGAAGTCAGTTATTGGACCCACATGGCCTTTTATTGAAAATCAGTTGGCGACTGGACTCTTCAGATGAAGAATTGAAGGAAAGGGCGATGGCTCTAACCATTGGGGCAACTTGGGGTTCAGTGTCTTGCCCAAGGACACTTCAACATGTGGACTGCAGGCACCGAGATTTGAACTTGCAACTCTTTGGTTGTGAGACGACTGCTCTACCCACTGAACCACAGTCACCCCCATTTATATCACTTTTTAATAGAACTTAAATTTATCTCTTGCCCCTGCGCGCACCTCCTCTGGATTTGTCCTGAAGTCTGGATCGAAAATCTAATTAGCTCCTTGTGGCCCAAGGCCAATCAGTCCAAATCTCAGTGAAATCGTGATGTTGGTGAAGAATCCTGCTGACAGGCCACAGCTTAACCTTTGGGGCAGAGGTGACCAAAATCTCTTAACCAGAAAAACAACTGGGGTAAACCTGCTGAATAAATGGTTTCTGTGTTTAACACTGCAGGTGGATTGGATGGATTTCAGGGGTTTAGTCAGGACCAGGTCCAGCTCTGATGGTTTTCATGGAGTTACAACCTATTTGCATGGCGTTACTGCACATCCTCCTGTGATTTGCAATAACAGCAGAGGTTGTGTGAATCTGCCCTGTCTGCAGTCTGAAAGGTAAATGCAGCACAGCAAATGAATTCACCAACACGGTCGGAGGCCGGCTGATGATGACAATCTGTCTGCAGGCCTCTCTGAGCTGCTCAGTGGGTTAGGCCTGTTAGGAGGTTAAGGTCAAGGGGTGACTGAGTTCCTGCTGGACTGAGTCCTCAGCTTCAGCATTCAAACCAGGCCGTGAAATGTGTCTGACCACTGGACTACTCGCTTTGCTTACTAAAGATCTAACATGTTATCAGCAGCCTTGCCTCTGATTTTTGCTCTCGTCAGCTGTTTGTATTTCATCTCATCTGAATTTGTTACGAAATCTTTGAGGTGGTTTGTTTGGTGTGGAATAAAGACATTTGATAGAAACTGACCGTCTCCTCCAGGTCATGCTACTTCCAATAGTGCTAAAGGTGGCATCTGGACTTACTTAGAGGTTCATGAAGATGTTTCACCTCATTTCATTTCAGTTCAGTTCGGTTCCACTCAACCTTTACTGCCACTGTAAAGACAATGAAATGTGAATACACTGAAGCAGCAAATAAAAACACAAATAAATAAAACAATGCAACAAATATAGTACTAGTAAATAAAAATACAGTGCCAGTTAAAATTGCACTTGGGTGTATTGATTGCATTGCACACTGGGTAGTGTGGTCCCTTGTCATAAATAACGCTGGGAGCAGGGAGGTTTTATGGAGCTCAGTTTGTCATGGCCCTTCTCTAGTCTGGTGGTCTGGTGTTTGGCGGGCATCAGGTCAAACATGTCGTGTCTGGAGTGTGAGGACTCTTTATGGATGCCGGCGGCTCTGCTGAGGCAGCAGGAGGTGTAAATGTCCTCCGGTGATTTCAGAGGACAGCCGATATGTTCTGTGCTGTGCTGATAACTCTCTGCAGGGCAAAACACATTAACATGCAGAATGCCAGCACGCTTCGTGGAGGAGCAGTAGCAGGGCACCAAGCTTTGATTCATTGATAAAATGCCCTCTCTGCCAAGTGTTTCTTCTTGAGTACTGTCAGGAAGTATAGCTGCTGCTGTGTCTGCTTCTTTTCACACAGGGACTGGCAGTCCAGGTTTTAGACAAGTATGTCCCTGAAGGGGGGACTGTCCACTTTGCGCCGGCTAATGTATAGAAGGACTGGTTCAGCACAGTTCTTCCTGTAATCGATAATGCGATCTTTTGTTTTCTAGATGTTTAGTGCCAGGTCGTCCATTGACCTTAAAGCTACAGTAGGTAACTTAAGGTAGTGTAGCATCACACTCCAAATCAGTTCACCCTGCTCCGCTCAGCGCTCCCTGTCCCCGCTCGACAACCCGCCACGCTCCGCCCAGCTCTTTCCTGAAATTACAGGAAATAAAAATGCAACAAAACTCACTGATCAAACTTAAAAACTGCTAAAAACCTTTTAGAAGCTGACATCTCTGCCCTACTGCCAGTTCACTGAGTCTGGGTCACAGGAGGCTTCAACAGCACCTCTCCATATTAGGACACGTTTTGGAGCAGATTTCTACAACAACGATATTTGGAAAAAGGCCAAACGCTTGTGTCTGAGCAGCCTGCCCACTCAACAAAAGCCCCAAGTGCAAATGTTCCACACTGCTTGGCAAACGTGGGCGTACTTGAACAGAAGGACCTTCAACGTGTGACTAGGAAGGCATGCACGTCTCTCATTCGTGTCCTCGTTCGTGTCCGCTTACACCCAGTATATATGCACACTGCTAGCGTGGCTGTAGCCCTTTAGTCCTGTTTCCATGTAATTGGTATTGCTGCACTGCACTTGCTTGAAAAGTGCCATCCAATGAAATTCTATTTATTTTTCTTTTGGGTGTTCACTGTTATGGATGCTGCAGATGAACTTTTTATTTAGGGCTTCTACCACATTCTGGATTCTAGTTTAGATCCTTGTTCACTGAGCAGCTCGGAATTTGTTTAAAAGAGTAACTTAACACTAAATCCATTTTTATGACAGTAATTACATGTACAATCATTTTATTGCTCTGTTTACTGAATCAGTCTTTACTCTCCGTCTGTAGAAAATGGGTTTTGAAAATGCAATAACTTCAAATGTGCTCAGTCAAACAAGTTAAACAATGCCCTTATTGCATTCCTTTAACAGAAAACTCCTTCAAAATGCTTGTGGAGCTGCTGTGATCAGTCGATTTGGAAAATCTTTAGCAGTGATGAGGAGGAAAACAAGGATTTAACAGCGAGCCTTGGACCTCAGCCCAGACCGATGTCTGTAATATCCAGAACAGCCTGAAGGATCATTTTTACTGGAATTAATAAGACCTGAGTAGCCGGTTGTGTTGCCTGTTACATGCCCATAATCACAGCGAGGAGCATCCTCTCAGGTGCTGCTGCTGTGATATCAAAGCTAATTACACAGATAAACCAGCAGTGTGAGCCGTAAAAGAGTTATTTAGTGTGATGTGGCTCAGAGGAGCGAGGCCGTCTTGCAGATCAATAGCCATGTTTAAAGGTTTGCTCCAACACAGCTCAATAGGAGACGCACGGCTGAGCCAAAACTCAGAGCAGGCATCTGATCGATACGTCGTTAGCCGCTGATTAATACCCATCACGGCTGATGAAGATGGATGGATGGGAAAATATGAATTTGGCACCAAATCCTGTCTCTCTATCAAAGTCATTCCCTTTACACTCGCCTCTGCCGTTATCTGTCCATCCCACCGCTGCCCTGCTCCGTCTCCTCCTCTTTATTAGTCTGAGGCCTCAGTCAGTCCTCACACAGGCCTGTCCCTGCTGGATGTGTGTGACTGTCTGTGTGTTAGATGGTTATCCTTTATCCTCGGTGGATACAAAGGACCAGTTTGGAGTTCAGTCTCCGCTCATTTTTTAAATCTCCCCAGCTGAGAACAGGCCCAGAGGAAATAAAGGAAGGCTTGACTCAGCAAATTTACTGAATGTATGTTCTCACAATTCATTGTCTTTCCTTTGACTCATGAATTACAATTTAATTAGACTCTAACTTTTTGTCCTAAATCCTGCTGGTGCCAGCTTCAGACTGCGTTATTTAAACTCAATAACAGCTTAACCTGTTGTTGTATAGTCTGTGATAGTCAATGACTCACGACATCCCAAGACAGAAGGTAAATCCCAATATACCTAATTGCATCAACGTTTCTCTCACGTGCATCTTTTCCTTGCGTCTTCAGGCTGTTTCAAAGGGTCACACAAGTATTTATGTCCCTTGGCAGGAGCTGTCCTGTGTCTCAGCACAAAAAGATCAGCTCTGACTAAACAGCCTGTTGATGGTTGTGGACAGTTCACATGTGGCCACAGAGGAGGAGGCGTTTTCACACCGTCAGCTGGGGTTCAACTTCAAAAACAACCGATGCTGTCTTTCTTTGTGGGAGGAGCATCTCCTGAATCTTGACCTCCAATCTTTTAAACTACTGTAATATTTTAGGTATCAATTAGACACTGTCTCAGCTCATTGGCTCATTGTGTGGACGCATCTTGTCTGACTCTACTCATCTGTTACAAGGTGATACAGTTTCCTCTCCTGCTGTTTCTAAGCCTCACCTGTGTCTCTCTCTCTCTCTCTCTCTCTCCCCTCAGGTCAGACTATGAGATGGAGTATGACAGATATCCTGATGACCACTATAGCAGGTGGGGAACTTGTGTTCTAGTGTCTGTCTTTCTGAAAGCAACATATTGTGTTGTCTAACTTTGACTCGCTGTGAAAGGTTCTAACTGTCCTCTGATGTACATGAGCAAAGAAGCAAGTTAACTTTGTTTTGATTCCCTCAGGAAACAGAATCAAAGAGTGAGTTTATACCTGTGCAACTACAAAAAGCATTTCAAACAACACAGAAAACGGAGCTAGTCGGGTTTAATGACCTCTAAATCGACGATAAAACAAGCTGGCAGCACTTGTGCAAACACATCACACTGGAAATGACCCATTTTGTCGTGAGCCAGTTGACGCACAGTAAGAGCCCTGTCTCCTAGAATGACAGGTAGACAGACCCAATGTGAGCAACAAATATATTCTGAAGGGAACATAAAGCTGCCTGGATTATGTTTTCTAGTTAGCGCTGCCCCATAATGAACCACTGAATCTTTTCTATTGGTGTGTTAGAGACTGTTTTGGAGACAACAGCTTCTAAATGTTTTTCTGAGTGACTCAGACTGCACATTTTCAGCTGAGAGGAGGAAATTGGTCGCCCTCTGAGAGCATGAACAACCTCAACTCCCCATTTGTTTCTGGCGCGCAGCAGCAAGCCGGTTTCCTGTTTGATGGCAGCCAAACTCCGAGGTTAGGAAGCGATCCGCCTCTCTCCGAGAGCTGTTTACAGTTCCAGGAAAAGATGAAAACTGTGAGTGGATCCCAGTTTGACCTTGTTGTGTTTCAGCTTTCAGCCAGTTGAAGAGCCTTTTTGTGAGGATGAGCGCAGCTGTTGGCCTCCCCTCCGCCCTCCATTTATCCTCAGTTTAGTTGATTCTGCACAGAGACAAAGTTACAGAAGGAAAAAGATTCACATGCAGCAGCAAAATACAGTCAAATGGAACAAAATGCTGTACGTCAACCAGAGGAGGAGAGAACATGTGAAGACTAAACCACAACAGCAGGTCTCACTGAAACAGAGGTAGTTAAGAATGAGAGTGATTTGCTCTTTACATCTCTTTTTCCAAAGGCCATGATAAAAAGAGAGATGGAGGGTGGCACAGGGATGACGTGTGTTTGTCACCCTGGTTCCCTCGACAAAAAGCCACTGACTTTTTGGATTATTGTGGAAAATAAGCTCCCGCAGAAAAGAGGGGAAAACTAAAGCTAAGAAAGGCTTTGCACAGTGCAGAGTGTGTGTGGGGGTGGGGGGGCGCAAATAATAGCATTAGTTAAAAATTCAGAAAATGTCTTTTGCACGTGTGTGCGCATTTACACTAAACTGAAGCAGATTAAAATGACTGCAGGAAATGAAGTCAGAAGGTGTGTGTTGATCTAAATTACATTCAATTAAGGGAGCCCTCATGCAGAAAATGAAAAAGTAAAAGTGCGTGTTTGCAGGCCACTTTCATAAGCTTATAGTTTTTGTTTTAATTGAACTTTATTCATTTTCAAGTTTTTCTTTGTATTCATCCAACATTGAGATGACAGAGCAGATCTGCTGCTGTGATGGAGTGAGTGACTGTCTGTATGGGGGACAGGGGGGACGAAAGGGGAAGCTGGGGAGGGGAGGCAACAGAAGTGCCAAGACTGAAGGGAAGAGACGGGAGGGAAACTGAGGTAGAAGAAGCAGAGAAAGGATTGGGAGCAGTGAAATCAAGTGACGGTTCAGTTTGTTGACTGAAATGTCTTTTAGTCAAAATTAAGTCATTAGTTTTTGTCCTACATTTTAATGTTAGTTCTACTTAGCAGTTTGAGGCTTCAGCTGTCACCATCTTTGTTTTGTGCAGTTACCATGGTTACCGGTGTGTCCCTGTCCCTCTGCTGTTTCGCCACACCCCTGGATGTTTTACTTTTCAGGTCACAAACATCAGAACCAAACGACATCTCACAGCTTCCTGTGGGATGTTGACTGACATGGAGGCCGGTCTGAAAAATGTTTTATAAATCATTGCTTTTCTGAAGTGAAGAAACAAACTGTAAACATACCGGCCTGTTTCCACCCTGCCCCACCC